GTATAAGTGGGTTTTAGAAGGTTAGGAGGTTGAATAGAAAATGTAGATTTCATTTTAAATTATGATCTGCGACAATATATATGTAAATTCCGGATCGGCCCGAATCCGATACCTGAGAATAAGAGCAAAAAAAAAAAAAATCTGAATTGTATTAAGTACTTAGACACACGTTATTTCACTGGATATCTGGCCATAATTATTTACTCGAAGATATTTAGCAATTGTTGATGTCAAGCAAAAAAAACGGATACATAAAGCTTAGCAAAAGCATTTGCCATTACATTTGATATTCGATACTGAAATATTTTGGGCAATTTACAGCTATTCTCATAAGTTTTGGAGCGACTAATATATTATTGTTGAACGAAACGATAAGTTTTACCAATGTTATATGGTGAATGTAATACCAAAAGAAGTATTTTCGCAATAGTTTTTACGTTATGTATTTATGTATAGGTAAAGCTATACAAAATGTTCTAAAATAAATTGAATTTCATTTTACTTTACTACCTTACAAAAACGTGTTAAATTTTACTAAATGTATAATGCACAATAGAGATATGTGCGAAAGTTTATTCAGGAAAATTATGATATGAATCGAGCAAAAGAATGATATAAAATATACAGGTTGTTTAAAAGAATAAATATTTTGTTTTTATATAAAATTATTGCCTATATTTTGTATTTTAAGATTAATTTCCTCGAATAATTAACTATTAATGTATAGTAAAAATTTAGTATTAATAGATAACAATATTACAATCAGTGGTAAACTAAAATAAATAAATATTATAGTTACTAAATGTAATAAAAGTCATATATATTTAAATTACTATTCTTCGGAAGCGCCTCATCTTCAACCTTCGGAAGCGTTCCACCTTCAATTTTAACCTCATTCACAGTTTCCACTTTAATTTCATTCATATTTTCAACATATGTATCATGTCTTTCATTCTCATCCTCATCCAGAGATTTCAACGTTGAATGTTTGCCAGAGGACAGATGCTTGTTTATTATAATGTCTTGTACGCCAAAAGGTTCTCTTGAAAAAATTTCTCTTGAAGATACAGACAATCTTTTATCTAAATTTTGAATGTGTTCCTGGAATTCGAGAGCCTGTAATATGGTGGCAAATGGATAGTATTTTTAGTTTTATTATTGATTGTACAATCCATAGATGAATATTGTGAAACATTTTATCAGAGAAATAGGTGTAGATAAGCTTACCATATTTTCGTCTATGCTCAGATATTTCAACCTTGAATTGAATTTTAAAACCTCGTTTAATAACCTTACATCTGGACCACTTATAGAGTTCCCACTTATATTCAACCTTTCCAAAGTATCATTTGTTTTTAGTCCAGTCAATTGGACTCCAAGTGATGGCCCCCATTGCCTATCTGGCTCTCCTCGTAAATTCAATTC